TCCTCCTCCTTCCTCCTCCTCCTTCCTCCTCCTCCTTCCTCCTCCTCCTCCTCCTCCTCCTCCTGCTGCTGCTTCTGCTTCTTCCTCCTCCTCCTCCTCCCTCCTTCTGCTGCCTCCTCCTCTTGCTCCTCTTCCTCCTCCTTCTCCTTCTCTTTCTTTCTTTCAAACACTCGATACATTTAGAGCCTGATCTTGTGCAGAAAATATCCCTGACATTTGAAGAGCTCCAGGGATTCAGTGAGCATGCTCAGTCCTTCCCTTCTGCTAGAAAGAGGAAGCTAGTTTACATACGAGTCATACCTAGCATAGCCAGCATGTCAGTGCAGTGAACTTGCAGCGGGGCTGTGAGGAAAACTAGCGTGTCTTTGTCCTAGGAAATGTGCCTCGTTTTTTGGCCTTTTTTATTGCTTTTTTAATTTGAAGAAAGATTCGTAAAGACTTCCGAAACTGCATTTTAATTCTAAGTCAAGGATAACGACACACATACAGCTTCCGATTAAACCTTTGAGGGGTTTAGTGTGTGTGTATGTGCGCGCTTTGGGGTTTCTTTTTGTGTGCGTGCTTTTTTCTTTTTTTAACTTTTACATACTGTATTTTGATAGTTTGAGGCTGGGCCTCTCCCTTTTTTTTCCTTCCTTTTTTCTTTCTTTTCTTTTCTTTTTTTTTTTTTTGTGAAGTTAATAAAAAGAGCCAGGCGCTCCCGAGCAGTAATTGATTTTTGAATCCTCTTTACCGTTTTGGGGCAAAAGCAAACAAGCTGGTTTTCTCTGCTAAGCCCAATAAATGCTATTTATGAAGATGGACCTGTTGAATTACCAGTACTTGGACAAGATGAACAACAATATTGGCATTCTGTGCTACGAAGGTAGATATCCGCCGCTCCTCCGAGAAACTGACCTACTCCTTCTGTCTGTCTGCCTGGGGGAGGCCCCTCCCTCTGATTAGTATTCTAATAACATTGTCTTGGAGGTTGTTGTTAACTGTTTGTCGTTGTAGCCGGGCCCCTCTCCTCTTTGGGCTTTCAGGGTTTCTGTGAAGCGTGGGTCCATTTATTCTTTTCGAGGCAACAAAGTTACCTTTGGTGTTAGGTGTCCTTGAAGAGGGAACTTGATTGAAATACTCCCTGGGAAAGAGTTTTGCTGGGTGCCTGCTACGACCGAACTCTGTTTGATATGTGTTCGTATCGGTATATTTCACTGTATCAGTGATCTGTGTGTGTGTGTGTGTATGTGTGTGTATGTGTACACACACGCACGAGATTTGTTGGGGGCGGATGGGGGGGGAAGATCGTCCGGTTTTGTTGCTGTTGTCACTTATTCTTGTAAACAAAGAACTCTTAGTATCCAAGTACAAGTCCAACTGAGAGAGTATATATTCTGTATCTTGGTTTGGTAGGGGTCTGGCATTTGCTCTATTATAGCATACAGTATTTTTAGGCTTTCCAGAACTCGGGGATTGTTTAAAAAAAAATCTGCCTGTGTTTGAGAACAAAAAGTTACAGTGTGTTTTTGTTGTAACGGAGTGATAGCACAAAACCATGAAGAATTTTGCCATTCATTTTGGAGGACTGGTTCTGCACCCATGTTAGACAGTACAGACTGGCCCTTTGTTTGATTTCTCATTTCCTGTACAGCTCTAAGAGGATTCTGACATTGAAGGATGTTTCTCCTCCCTTCCCACTCCCCCACATTCTGGTCTCTGGTGGAAATAATTACACATAACACCCCAGGAAAAAATAAGTTTTAAAATTTAAAAGATTTTTAGGGGGAAAAAACCTAACAAAAAACCCAACGCAGATTCTAATGTTGTCATTTTTCAATGTCTAGCACTTTTTAAATTGCTGTGGTTGTAGTAAAAAGGAAAACTCTATTTCTTCAATTGGCATTATCTACGTGCAATTTGAAGAAGGGGTAATGGCCTGACTTGGAGTGGCTAGGAAGGCAGCACTGAGGGAATTTGGCTTGGCAATGGGAGTGTTTTTGTTGTAACCACATACAAATAGTGCAGCTTCAAGAAGAGCATTTTCCATGTTCTTTTAGAAATTAAAGTTAGCATTTCTCTTGGACAAGAAAGACGTGGGGGTTGGGATGGGGAGGAGACTATAATCCACTGGAGGATTCGATGAATTCAAATCACATGCTGGGAATATTCCTAAGGAAAAGGCTCTTTGCCTAAAACCAATCACAAACCTGTCCTCCCTCCCTTGAAAATATCAACAGAAAATGCTTGCTCAAGTTGGTTGTTTTTCTTTGTCCTTGTGGGGGAGGATCCGATATTTTGTAGCTAGAAATCCCCTCATTCCCTACTTACTGTAGGTTGGAGTGTTTCAGTGAAAAGCTTTCTTTGAATCTGCTGCACAAGGTATTGACTTGCCTTTTAAGTGCTCAGATTACAGGGCAGACCTAAAGAATGGTGTAAGCAGTAAGTGATCCAGCTTGTTTCCTTGGGATCTTAATACACTGTAGTTTGTTTTTGAAACTTTTTTCCCCCTTCAATAGATGGTGAACACAAACCTTTGTTTCACGTTTCCCTGCCCCTATTGGGTGATTATCCTCTGATAAAGAGTAAATAAAGTTAAAAAAAAAGTACACACACAACATAGTTGTTAGCCTTTTAGACGAGTCCCAACCTTGTCAGGAAAGCCGATATCAAATTAATATTTTATGTCTGCAGCTGGCAGTGGTGAGGCTAAGCTGATGGAGGGCCTCGTCATCTTGGGTGTTTCATTATTTGTGTAGGAATGAGAAGTCCCAACTATAGTTTTCTGCTGTGGCCTCTGTTACTTAACAAGAGACTCTGATTTTGAAAGTAAAATAGATGTATGGGAAACAAGAGATAATAGGGCATATAGTCTGTTTAGTTTAAACATCTGTTACTATTTTCCTTATTATGAACGTTAACATTATTTAACACCAAAATAAACACACAGGAAATGAAGAAAAGCAAAGTAAAATGTGAGGGGTGTTTATAGTGAGCTGTTTATGTCCTGGTGGTTTATTCAGTATAAACACTGCTCACAGCTGCACCGATCCCCAAAGGGTGATTTTTGGAGATAGGCACAGACCTTCCATTGCAGACCTTGTGATTTCTGCAAGGGTACCTGGCTTAATCAGTGAAGACACTCCTTGCACGGAAGCAGGTCAAGACTCCTCTACATCTCATTAAATTGTCCTTGTAAAATACTCCTAATTACCTGATGACAAGCCCTCTGGTGATGAGCCTCCCCAAACCTAGGTAGGCTGATCTGGGCCTGTCAGGGGAAGTCCTTCTTGCTGGGTTAGGACCTGCCCAGAACTTCAGCTCTGCCTCCATCGCCTTGGAGAACCCTGGGTCAGCTCCAGGTTCCTGGAGAATGCCCGGGGTCACTGCCAGGTTGTATTTGTTAAGCAGATCCTTTAGGCCTTGTGATGATGAGGTTCCATGGAAGAGAATACTTGAGCTCACCTACCTGGTTCAAAGAAGTCATTTTGTAACTGTGATCTGTGGCTGGAGGGCCCGTCTTGGCTCTCCTGTGCCGTTGTGCCTTGGGTATTGTTTGATTTCACTTATTATTGGAGGCCACTTCCATGCCTCTTCTTCAATAGGAATATGTAACACTTGACAGTATAAATCGGAGGATATAAAAAAAGTTAAGGTTTTCTTGATAACTTATTTTCATTGACTTATTATGGGTAAATTCTACTCTGTTCGTTCTGAGCACTAGTAAAAAGAAACTACGATCTTTATCCAGGACAACTGAAGGTTTCTCAAGCTTTCTCCATTTCTGCTTATTAATTCTAGAACTAAGTCTATTTAGCCAGTTCTTTGTTCTTTTCTTGGTCAAGATCTTTCTGAAATTCAGTCCGGCAGAAAGCTTTCCCTTGAAATGGGTGGAGAATAACACTCCTCTCAAAATGTTGCTTGGACGTTGCCTTCCTCAGTGTCTGATTCTGGTTGACCAAGTCAAAAAAACTGAAAAGGGAATGAGAAAACTAACGTGTGTGTACGTGTGTGTGTGTGTGTGTGTGTGTGTGTGTGTGTGTGTGTGTGTGTG